TGTAAAAATCATCTGCCATGGCTTCTCTAGAGTATGCTACGGGAGCCCTCTCCTCTCGAGCCCTCTGCGCGTCCGGGCACCTGGGGTACCTCCGAGTGGTCAGAGCCTCCCCTGGAAAGAGCTCCGCTACCACGTTGGGATTGGCCCGAGCGTGATCTAGCTCACTAAAATGTACAGTAGACAGCGTGGCGTCTCTTTGTTTCACCGCTCTACGCACTACTCGAATATTGTCTCCCCAAAACCATGAGCCAAAATGGCTACAACAACATGCAGATGTGTTACATGAACTGTACATGGACTGATCGCAAAGCAACAGGACTGTGACTAACTCACCCCATTTCACCCGTCCCGAGGGTCAAGGTTCTGGCGAGGTCGATTCCGTTGTTCTCCCTTTTCCCCTTCTCCCCTTCCCCCAAGCCTCACCTGCCGCTCGCTCCACTTAAGCATGCATGTGACTAGACTAGCCCGATCAAGCAAACACTTGCATGTTCACTCACGCGTTCACTGATTGGCTCCCTCCCTCCGCTCCTTCGCATCCTCTCTGGCTGCTCTCCTCCTATTCACCGTCGTCATGATCATCATGATCACCATGATCATCATCATCATCATCATCAGCACGATCATCATCATCTGTTAAACCAGCGCAGAAAGCATGCCTGAAGGTGCGCTTGCATGGCCAATGGCTCCAGCACAGGGGAGCGGGATCGGGCGGGAAGTGCTTGGCAAAAGGGCGCGCGAGCAGGGCTCGTCACATAGGACAGGGTCCTCAGATTTAAGGGTCGGGGCACCCTCTAAGGATAGGCATCCAGGGACAGGTCCGGGCTACCTTATTCACATTGGTAGCGGAGCCCGGCCTGTCATAGTGGTTCCTAGGCCACTGTGTAAACAGGGGGATTCGGGGCTTTGTGTTCTAACTAGTGGGGGAACTAGTTAGAAGGGGACTAGTAAACCGCGTTGCCGAGAGCCATGGGGACAGAAGCAGAACCCGGAACTGGGTCAGGAGGAGGGCCGACGAGCCATCTTCCTCTGCAGTTAATTCCACGGTTCATCCCTGGAGCCACGAACGTGGAACGTGGATGAGTACGTCAAGCGGCTGCAATTTCTCAAGGAGCTGTGGCCTGAAGAGCATCTGTCGTTACTTGGACCCAGGGCAGCACTTCTCGTGGAAGGCGCCGCGTTCCAAAAGGTGAGCCGCATCGCGCCGGACAAACTCAAGAGCCCGGATGGAGTCAAGATTCTAGCAGAGCAGCTGGGAGGGACGTGGGGAAGACTGCAAGTAGAGGATAAATTCCACTACTTTGAGCAAGCCATCTACCAGACCCAGCAAAAGCATGAAGAAACAAATGACTCCTACATAGCCAGACACGATGCCCAGTTCGAAGAGCTGCTTTCTCGCAAGGTCCAGCTGGAGGAGATCCGGGCCTACATCCTGTTACGTCATTCGCAACTTGCGCCGGAAGACAAGAAGCGGGCGATAGTGGAGCCCAAAGGCGACCTCAAGTACGCCGAGACGATCAAGGCGATCAAGCTGCTTGGCTCGCGCTTCTTTGGCGAACTTCAGAACAGGAATGGCTCCAGCGCTGGCACCAGCCGAGGGCAAGAGCGAAACAAGGTCTATGACGTGAACATGACCGAGGCCGACGACAGCGAGGAGATCAACATGGCCACCTACGACGAGGAAGTTGATGAAGACGAGGCTTTCGCTTACTTCTTCGAGCAGTGCGACCAGGATGCACTCTACATAGCGGAGTTCGAGGATGGCATCATCACTAGAAAAGGGAATGTCCAAAGAACCTGGACAACCATAGTGGCAACCACAAGGTCGAAGTGTCCCACCTTGCGACCCTCGACGGCGAGAACGAGGAGGGCAGCGACGATTCCGACCCGGAGTTTCTCCAGGACCTGCTGGAGGACGCCGTCATGTATATGGATGAGCTCAGTATCTCCGACAGCCAGGCGCGAGAGGGAGTCCGTCAGGCTGGAGAAAGAATTCAAGGTAAAGAGCAGTGTTGCTTCATGTCACCAGAGGTGAAACGAGGCAAGTGTATAGGAGATGCTCTTGCAAGCAGATTGTTAACGATTGCCAGGCCGCAGACCTCTCGATCTCTGGAGACCAGACGATCGACCCCTGAGGTGCGAAATCAGAAAGCCGACTTAAGGCCCAAACCCGGAAGCGTAGAGATAGGCGAGCCAATTTTCATTGCAACGGTTGGGGCCAAGGGTGTTGTAGACACAGGGGCTAGCCGTACGGTTGTTGGAAGCGACCGGGTGAAGCGCATTTTGAGCAGTTTGAGCCGAGAGTGCCAGAAGAATGTTAGGAAAGTCAGATCCAAAGCGACGTTCCGTTTTGGCAACAGTGGCACGTTGGACTCAAAATGGGCTTTGCTGATTCCGACCTCAGAGGGCGCATGGATCAGAGTAGAAGTAGTCAATGGTTCCACTCCTTTGCTGATTTCTAATAGGCTGTTGAGAGAGCTTGATGCCATAATCCACGTAAGAAAGGGTCAGATTCAGGTTCCCGGGGGTGTAGTCCAGATGAGGTGTGACCAGCGGGGCTTGTCTATTGTAGATTTTGCTGAACTCATGCAGCATGTTACCGCACCAGCAGCCGCAGTGCACTTCACAAGCGTGTCCTCGACAGAAGACCCACAGCACTCGCAACAGCCGCCCGCCCCAGCAGACCAAAGTCAGCAAAGCAGCGCAACCAAGACCGCACAACCCAAAAGTGACAGTGCACCACAGCTGCGAACTCTCCGGCGAGGAGGACATCCGTCTGGTGGCCACCGTGGACCTGAGCGAGTACCTGGAGGTCAAGTACACCCGGCCGCCGGGAGTGACCACGATGGAAGCTTGGGGCAAGACCATCTTGAGCGATGGCAAGCACAAAGGGAAAGATCACTCAACCGCCTTTGCCCAGGACCTCGACTGTGCCATGCTGAACTTCCAGAATTATGTCCGCGCCAGACTTCGCAAGGCAGCAAGGATTCTGGTGAACCAGTCGAGCGACAAGGAGATCAAAACGCCGGACCAGACCGAGAAGGAGGACGGCTGGGAGCGGATCTCCGAGGGGCCAATGGGACACAAGACAGTGACCGCCCGGAAGCGCATCACCAAGGACAAGGGCACCACCAGGAGTTGGCTCAGAGGCGTGCGCTCCTGCTGCGCGAGCTGGGCCAGATCGACAAGCTCGAGAAGCAAGCTCAGCAACAGTCGAAGCAGCACCCGGAGAAGCCCGAGACGGAAGGCTGATGTGCTCCCAGAGTTCTGAGGCATCCCCAGCATGGAGTGCCGCGACAGTGGCACTGTGTGAAAAGATTGATGGGCGCATTCGGGAGATCGAAAGCCATTTCCAGTCACAACTCGACGGCTCCCATTAATCCAAATATGCGATGCCTGCTCTGGATGTTCTGGAGATCACCACAGGGGTGGGAAATGCAGTCAGCACACCCGTAAAGCAGCGCGGTGGTCGAGCCTTTGTCTTCAATCAAGTAAAGCATCTAGATGAAACCCATGGATCAGATTATCCTTGGAAGCTTATCCAGTTCTACGAACCCAAGCATGTGTGGATTGATGTCCAGACACCGTAGCAGCATCGGGCAGGGCATCCGTCATGGCCTTGCCGTCTTTTGGTAGAAATCTTCCTGTGTCAGATGGAGAATGGCAGGCATTTCCACTTAAATGGGGGGCCCAGTTTCTTTCACGGCACTCTACAGTTGAGAGCAGGATGTGCCCGAACCCGCATGAGACCACAGAACATCATTCACACCACGTCCCGAAGCATGCACCACAACCTGGATGAAAGATACCCAAACAGGACGCAACAGCAAAGTTCTGCTCACAACATTCACGACAAGACACCACGAGCACCACGAAGCCCGAAGCAGTCGCACAACTTTGTTGGACAAGTGGCCGATCAGTTGCTGGAAGCTGCCGATGTTCCTCTTCTTGTTTCAGAAAATTCTAGTTGGGGAAGGGATGGCAGATCATAATGCAAGCTCTGATCCAGAAAGCGCAGTTCGCCATTTGTTCAAAAGACGCAGACTGAGTGGAAAGCAGCCGGCGCCGGGATCTTTACTTGACAGCCCGCCGGAGGAACCAGCGACTTGGAAGGATGTATTTCAGATGGTTAATGCAGATGTTCCCCCTAAGGGCCGGGTATATTATGATGAGGGCAGCGAAGTCATAGGAAAGATCCAAGCATTGGTTCCTCAGTTCCTTGTCCGTCACACGGTGTTTTGCAGAGGCACAGTCCGTGTTCAAGGGGCCAGGGATAACGGTGATTTGGGTAGGATTCCCCTAAGGAAGACTATAGTAGTGCGAAGGGATACGGGAGAGATAGCTGAAGATGGTCCTGTTGAGCAATGGACAAAGATTCCCAAGTATCATCGGGGCCAAAAGGGGATTCCTGCCAGATTCAGTGATACTGTATACGGGGCCCCACGAGAAGTAGAGAGGGTAGCTCGGGCCCCAGAAGTCGCATCTGGCAGCAATTCTCTTCCGGTTCTGGATCCGGAGTCTAGACCACTGCCTCGAGAACAGGATGTTAGTCAGCCGGAGCCAGCAGTTGCGTCATCTTTGGCACCCGCAGCAATTTCGGATGAGCCATTCCAGATGGAAGAAGCAGAGCCAAGGGATGTCCCAAAGGGTTTGGAGATAGGTTTTCCCCCAAAGTCGATACCCCGGCATGGGCCAGGGTATTTTGCCCTTAATACGGAGGAAAGACGGGAGCTAGTTAGGCTGCACAACAATTTGGGACATCCTGAAGCCTCTCTTTTTGCGAAATTTCTGTCGGAGCGCAAAGCTGAACCAAAATTTGTAAGGGCTGCAGGAGACTACAGTTGCAGCGCATGCCTCGAAGCGGTTCCTAAGCCAAAGAATGCGAGACCCTCTGCCATACATATGGATGGGGATTTTGGCGATGTTCTAGGTTTGGACATAGCCTATTGGAAGAATAGTCGGGGTCAGACATTCATGTTTACCCATGTGATTTGTGAATCCACCCTTTTCCATATGGCAGTGGGAGCCGGGAGGTCACCAGAAGAGCAGTTTTCAGCTCTTTCCGACCGATGGTTCTCTTTCGCTGGAGTGCCCCAGGTTATATGTGTAGACCCCGCAGGTGAGTACACATGTGAGTTTTGGAGGACCCAACTCCAGAAAGAGAACATAAAGTCAAAGGTGAGCGCGGCAGAGTCGCACTGGCTAGGCAGAGTAGAGTCCCACGGCCGGATCCTGAAAGACATGCTTAGCCGCATGGATGCCGAACAGGAGATTGGAGACGAACAAGAGTTCCGTTTAAGTTTACGCCAAGCAGTTTGGGCCAAAAATAGTTTAAGCCGGGTGAAAGGGTATACCCCCGAACAAGCGGTATTCAGGAAAATGTCACGTCTCCCTGGGTCGATCATCTCTGATGATGAGGCATCTGCCCACTCCTTGGCAACCAGCAGCTGTCCCGAAGGGATCGCCTTTAGGAGAAGCCTCCAGCGGAGGGAGCAGGCCCGCAGCGCATTCGTCAGGGCGGATAACGACAACTCCTATCGTAGAGCTCTACTCAGGCGATCCCGTCCTGCTTGTCAGGGATTTGAAGCTGGAGATTGGGTGCTCTATTGGCGGGTCCAAAAGGGCGGAGGTAGCCGTCTGAAAGGCAGATGGCATGGGCCGGGACAGGTTCTTTGCAGTGAGGGGCGTAAGGTTGTATGGATCAGCCATGGGGGTCAACTTATAAGGGCCTCCCCCGAACAGTTACGATCTGCCTCCATGAGGGAACGGAGAACCATAGTGTCCCAGCAAACTTTATCTCCGTCAACTGGGTCTGACAGGAACCATGAAGGGATCCGTAATGTTGTAGACCTTGTAAGTAGTGGGGCACTGCCTTCAAGAGAGGAGGTAGACAATGAAGGGGATGTCCCCATGGGACCAAGCACAGATGGGGAAACCCTGGCGGAGCATCATGTTCCTGGCCTTCCACCGAGTCCAGAGGTTCTCGAGTACAGCCCGGATGCGTTAGGGAATACGGGTGAAGATAGAGCACAGCCGGAACATGAAATTCTCCGACGGCCTCAGTGTCAGGTGAACCGGAAAGGGACATCATAATGGAGGAGGCTAGGGCACCCGAGTATTTTGAAGTTCCGGTTCCCGAAGACGACGAGGACCTTTTGTTTGGAGACACCGAATGTTTTCTTGCCTTTCCCGAAAATGGACAGGCTTGGGAGATGACTCTCCATGAAACCCAGGTGAACTGGGACGACCTTCCTTCGGCACAGCAAGCTCTAGAGTATGTCATGCTAGCGACCCCAGATCGTAAGAAGCGAGTAGAGGTTCGTATGCGGGATTTAACAGGGGATGAGCGTGAGCAGTTTGAGCAGGCCAAAGGAAAGGAAGTAGGGGCATGGCTTAGTCATCAGACAGTTCGTCGGGTGTCTGCAGGATCTTTATCTGATGAGCAGCTTTTGCGATGTCGGTGGATCCTGACCTGGAAGGCTCCTGAACAGCCTGGAGGGCCACGCAGGGCTAAGGCACGGTTGGTGGTGTTAGGGTTCGAGGATCCTGGGCTAGGGGATATCCCGAATGATGCACCGACACTTGGAAAAGATGCTCGACAGCTGATACTGCAAAAGGTGGCGGCCAATCGGTGGAAACTAATCAACTTTGACATCTCAACCGCTTTCTTGCAGGGCGAGGGGGATGGTCGCCAACTTGGCATACACCCGCCGGAGGAACTCAGACAAGCCTTGAAGATGAAGCCTGGGGAACAGTGTCAGTTGATGGGGGGTGCCTATGGTAGGATACATGCCCCGTTTTGTGGTTTAAGACGTTGAAGGGCACACTTGAATCCTTAGGCTTCATTCAAAGCCCGTTCGATGCCTGCACTTTCAGTTTGATCACCCAAGATCCTCACGGAAAGCCCAAAGTACATGGAGTTCTAGGCATTCCCGTAGACGATGGTTTGGGGGGAGGGGATAGTTGTTTCAAGATGGTGATTCAACGCCTCAGGGAAAAGTACAGCTTTGGGTCGTACGAGGAGGGTGAATTCACTTTCACGGGCATTCACTTTAGACAGTGGGACGACGGCAGCATTGAATATGATCAGCAGGAGTATCTGGAACGCATCCAGCCGGCTCATATCCCTAGGCAGAGGCGGAGTGAGCCGGAAGCCCCCCTTAATGCTGATGAGGTTCACGAGCTTAGGCGTTTGAATGGGAGCATCCAGTACGCTGCTGTTCACACGCGGCCGGATTTGGCAGCTAAGGTAGGAATGTTGCAGTCTGCGGTTCCTCGTGCTAGAGTTTCGCATTTGATGGAAGCCAATAAACTGTTGCATGAAGCCAAATCGAATCCTGTCTTGCTGATGACAGTGCCAATCCAAGAGCCACACGTGACTTTCTGTTCATTCTCCGATGCTTCTTTCGCTTCTAGTCGGGATAGTAACTCTTATCAGGGGACACTGGTGGTGGCAACGGACTGGCGGATGCTGTCCAACAAGCAAGCTGTGATCGCGCCAATGGCGTGGTCAAGCCGTAAGATTGCTCGGGTGGTGCGCAGTACTTTAAGCGCTGAAGTCTTCTCTCTGTGCAATTCCATAGATCGCATGTCTTGGTTGCGTTTGTTCTGGGAATGGATGAAAGATCCATCCGTAGACATTTCCCAACCTGATCAGATTCTCAAGGGAGCTCCCAAAGCTGCGCTAGTGACAGATTGTAAGAGCGCCTTCGACATTGCAACGAAGACGGCTGTGCCTAGTTGTACAGAAATGCGGACCCAGCTGGAATGCCTTTTACTAAGGGAGCGACTCCAGGAGAATTGCCAGATGCGATGGGTACATTCCAAAGCTATGTTGGCGGATTGTCTAACAAAGACTATGGATGGTAGCGATCTTCGTAGGTGCTTGGCCAGTGGTAGATACGCCTTGTTTGATGAGAATAAGATCCTGGCTGAACGGCAGGGGAAAAGACAATCGCTAAGATGGCTCCGGAAGGAACTTGAAGGGAATGCAAGCGCAGAAGCTTAAAAGTTATTATAGAATGTTACGAGTGTTAAACCAGCGCAGAAAGCATGCCTGAAGGTGCGCTTGCATGGCCGATGGCTCCAGCACAGGGGAGCGGGATCGGGCGGGAAGTGCTTGGCAAAAGGGCGCGCGAGCAGGGCTCGTCACATAGGACAGGGTCCTCAGGTTTAAGGGTCGGGGCACCCTCTAAGGATAGGCATCCAGGGTTTTAGGGACAGGTCCGGGCTACCTTATTCACAATCATCATAATCATCATCTTCTTCTTCTTCAGCATGATCATCATCATCATCATGCCCATGGTTGTTGCAAGCACTTATGCTGGTCCGTCACTTTGAGTGGTGAGGTAGATAGAGCATTCATCGTTACTGAAAAGGCAAGCAATGCCAGCTGGTGCACCTTAGACTACTCGTCACACAAGCCTGCAGATACAGGGACTCCCTAACTATGGGATTTTTTGGGGCGTCACACCAAGAATTGAAATGTCCCATATGGCAAGTGAAAGAGCGAGCGGGGCGCATGCAGAACAGCAGAGACGCAAATAGACTCTAAAACTACGCTCAACACAGCAACACGCCACTCAAAGGCGGCGAACTCGCCACTCATAGGCGGCGAACAAACAGACAACAACAGACATGATTCTGTCGGAAGTTCCGCATTCCAAACCGGGCATCAGCTTCCCCCCCTTTCCCTCCTCCCTTCTCCCCCAAACCCTCCCTCCCCCCGTCCCCCAAAAGCCTCCTGCGAACGCCGACCAGCGTGGTTCTGAGAGCAAGCACCGTGCACGGCGGGAACTCGCCGGAACACGGAATTCTCGCCGAGCTGCAAGCTCTGTTCCAGGTAATGTCCGCTCATGCCGCTCTTGCTGGTGTGTCTAACAGCCAGAACGAACCCACAGCAGATGCCCCGGTCTCCGACTCAAACTCATCCATTCAGAAGGATTCACGGGATCGGTGGAAGTGGCGGCAGCCAATAAATTAGTTGAAAAAGGATCCGGAGCCCCAAACCCCTCCTAAACAAGTTATCCAAGTCCTCGTCGGCGGTCCGGGGCTGGGAACCGGTCACCTGCAGAGCCAGGAGCGTCAAAATTGAAACATCACTTCTGCTTTTGTTACTGTTATTGACGTTACTTACCATTATTACGGGCATTATTTCGATCATGATTTCTCTACAGCGTTCGACCCAAAATTGAGCACGACAGGGGCAATTGTAGCAGAAGCAGCAAAAGCAGCAACAGGAACATCAAGAAGAGTTCACCTGCTATAAATGATGCAGCAAACAGGAGAAGCCAACATTGCTATGAGCTCAACAGAATAAAAACTTCACGTCAGGTAACGTCACTCAAATTATCCCTTTCTGGCATTTCCTGTTGCTTCAGTGCTTTCGCATGCTCTCCCAGAGGACTGGAGCATGGTACAACCACCCCCCCTTGACCAACCACCCTCAATTGACTCATGAGAATAAGACTGGCAACCTGGACAGGTCCTGCCTGCACAGGCCCAGCTTGCAGCGCGAGCTGGTAACGCTGAGAATCCAACAAAGCCCGAAGCGCCATCCGCCTTCTTAGGGAGAATACAGCTTGCACGCGTCACACTTTTGGAGAGTAATGTGAACGAACAGCAAATCAGTTAGTTGCCAACATACTAGTAGCAGTCATGCCACAAAACCACGAGAGTACTAATGAGCTCAGGACGCACAGGTCTGTTGAAGTTGCTATCTCTCTTCTTGTCCGCACTGCCGGATCAAACATCTTTCTGCTGCAGGCCTATGGCGCCAGCTGGGTTGATTAACGGGCCGTGCTCGTCTTGAAAGTGCAGAACAGAACTTTTTGAATTCAGGCCGACACCGCAATCATCCCTTCAGTCACTAGTTCAGCCAGCCTCGTCTGGAGTGTATAGGACAATGATCCTTGAACAGGAGTCTTCCTTGGCAGCTACTCATGCTACTGCTTCCAACAGGTGCTCAAAGAACCAATGTGTTGAGAAAAACATTCCGTGGCAACAATGGCCACGCTTCAGCTTTACAGTTCCGTACTGAACGTGACATTGAACGTGTGCCTACCAGCAATTGTATACATCTCTAGAGATTTTAGCAACATATTCCGATACACCACCCTGAACTCAAAGCGGGCTGAGTCGCAAAAGCTGCCGATCGTAGGTTGCAGTTGCCTGCCGGATGTTCAAAGGAAACGAATGGGAGGGCAATGCAAAATCTACTTACTGGGGGTTAGTTGGGAATAAGGGACTATATTATACAGAGATTCTCTAGGGATTAGATTCCCTTATCCCTTACTAAGAACAAGTAAGTCAAGCTAGCCTACCTGCACCGTGTGAGGCCCTGCAGTGAATCGAACTGCACCTCGGCTCACTTTCATCTTTACAAAACTGCAATATATGAACATAGGGGCAATATATGATTTAATGCAGGGCTTAGGGTAAGGTTATATATAGGGTATAATATAGGGCATAATATAGGGCATAATATAGTTTAAAATGTACGGTTATATCAGGACTATATAGCAAAGAACCTGGCAAAGTTTGTTGACTTTTCGTGACTGGGCTGGTGGCCATCATGTACAAAGTCCACGGGCGAGTACCTCTCCAAAATATACAGATTTTCTTTTCCATTATCCCCCTAAGGGTTAAGGGTTTTCCCTATAACCCTAATATGGATAATCCCAAGATAACCCCAATATGGATAACAGGGTAATATAGGGTACTATAGTAGTTTCCATTTTCTTTTCCATTATCCCCCTATAACCCCAAAATGACCTTATATAACCCATTACAGTAGTTTCAGACTTTGGAAGGTGGCTTCGCCCAACTAGGCATTTGTTGAAAATCAACATAGGGCTTCTCGGGGATTCTTACCACAATTACTCATATTCCTACCACGATTACTCCTATTATCTTATCACTATTCGAATTCGTATTATTACCATTCTGGGGACCCTAAACCCTACACCCTATGATATCCACCATACCCATGAAACATGGGGCGCTTCCCGGGGATGTTCTGGACTGCGTAGCTTGTGTGCCAACGCTTGGAGATGTCTTTGTCCACGCGGGCATTCACGCGCATGCCATCCTGCAAGGATCTAGCTGGAAATGGGGGGCTTAGGGTTTGGGGTTTAGGGCTATAGGGTTTAGGATTTAAGGTTTAGGGTTTAAGGGTTGTTTTTTACAACCCCTCGGACTTTTGATGTCTGCCGCAGCGACAGGGGGTTCTTACCCCCAGCTCGGTTTGAGGATGCAGCCTTCCACTGTTACAGCAGTCAACTATGCGTAAATATCCAGTTATTGGTGGAAACTTCCGGTCTCTCCAACCCCTCAGACATACTCGTGCAGCACAAACTTTCCCTTGACGGAGTGCTTGGGTCAGGGTTTGTCCCCTGAGCGATGCCCTTTGTTCGGCTCAAAACCCTCTGGCTTCCTCGGGTTTAAGGTTAGGGTTTAGGGTTTGGGGTTTAGGGTATAAGATCTGGTTTAAGGTCTAGGGAATATGGGGTGATGTGGGGACTCCATAGGGGTAATATAGGGATATTCTCTGGGGAATAATATAAGGGGAATATAGGGTCATGTAGGGACTGCAGGGACTCTATAGGGGTAATATAGGGATATTTTGGGGAATAAGGGAATAATAGGGAATATAATACATTGCGATACATTGGGAGGATGAAGCTGGTGCTGCTTATTTCCCTCCTTCGCAAAATGCCCATGTGATCTATGTCTAAACTCCAGTATCCCCCTGAATCACGCCTAATATAATTTAAGAAGCTTAGACTCTAGCTGATGTGCCGCAACTCTGTCTGAACCACCATGAAGCTCGAAACTTGCATCAACTGGAGAAAGGATGGGATCTTTTGAGCCCAACCCACAACAATTCACGGATATTCACGGCCCTGGTGTCCTGCGTGGCGCCGTATGATACTCTGGGAGTAAATCCTTTGACCTGGCGAAGTTCAGGACCCCCTGGCTCCAAAATGGGATCGGCGATTCACAAGACTATTGGATGCCAAGGATGGTGCGGCTGCGCAATCACCCTACCAGTCAACAGCTCATCAGCTTTCATGTTCAACGGCTACGCAAGCTATCTTCAAAGCTTACTGATTGACATCAAATCTCGGAATTAAAGCCTTCTTTTCCTGCTTTCACCTTCATTTTTGAGGGTACCCCTTTACTGGAAAGCTTCGGCGTGCTCTAGCAGCACTAGATCATGAGATGTTGACCTGTCAAGCCCTAGCCATTGATTTCAATTTGCAGCACCGGCATAGCAAGTACATCAAGCTGAGTCGTTGGCTGGAGGGTACGTCCTGAGACAAATTGCAAGTCTCATATGGCCCATAGAATGGCAGACAATTGCTGCCAGTGCGGCATGAAAACTCGAACAGTATAAGTGTGGACAGCATTTTCTAGAGTTTCCCTCCAGGTGAACTACAATAGCCACAGGAGAAACGCCTGCAGCCAGCTTTGCTCGGCCAAGGCTCGTATTCAGATCCAGGTTCCAATCCAGTTGCGAGTTCAACCCGCCGGTGACAATGCCAATGTCCTCCACCTCCAGATTTTGAGCGTGACAACCGGTCTGCGACTTCCATGCAGTAGCATCGCCGCAAGCATGCACACTGCCCCCAAGCGCCTCGTGGCGGAAAGCGGCACCCCACTCGCCGGTGCTTCGCAGCCATGAGGCGAGCGAGCCACCGCCTCTACAAGATGGACTGCAAGAATTCTAGCCGACCAAACGAAGCAGCTACGAACATGCTGATTTCACAACAACCTGACGTGTCTCGTTCTTCTTCTTCACAGAGCAATGCGCCCCTACGAAAGGAGAAGCACGGGGCCATGCACCAAGCTCGGAAGGTTCGAGTCCGGTCCGACCAGCCCGTTTCCGGGGTGCCCGTTGCAGATCACGGAGCTCACGGCCGCCACAATCCACCCAACAAATGTTCAATCGGCTCCGTGATCCACGATGGGCTGCCCACTGCTGGCATGAAACGTCTAGGCGTTTGTGTAAGGATGTGCTTACACTTGCACCTCTCTCTTTCTCCGACACTATAAATAACATACAAAAACTTCGAACATGACTCGTCGTATCCTCCTTTTTCTTGTTCTATGTACTAAGCAGGACTCCAAAGCCCTACGGGGGCTACGCCCTCAGCCGGCGAGCGTCCGCAATCTACACGTCAGAACATCACAGTCTCTCTCCTCTTCTGCAGGCCGCACGAAACGCTTCACAGCGGATGTCGGGGTTACACCCCGGCCCCATGTACAAGCCTGGCAGTCGCTGCTCGTAGCCCATGGAGAGCTGCTGCTGCGTGCTGTCTGCGCCCTCGGCGCTCAGAGCTGGATCCTGTCTCGCAGGAAACCATTTCCCGGATGCAAGACTCGACCCAGCAGGTCCCTCATTCAGGCATCTAGTGGTGATAGACTAGATCTTGCTTTACCAGATGATCTGCTGACAGCCTTCAGTGCCTGAATCGACTGGGATGGACTATCCATACAGGTGCGATTGTGACATGCGAGCAGGGAAGCAAACATCCACTCAGGGGATGTATCTACTGCGACTTGCTTCTTGCCTCGATACCCAACCGGAAGCGCCCTCCGATGCGCGGCAAGCCCAACCTGAACCAGCGCAGCGCTTCAAGAGTCCGCGTACGACAATCCAGCCAAGATCTTGCAAATGTTGTTGGGAAGATCAAAAACTTTTCTCGTGCAACTCCAGGGCTTTGCCTCATTGGGGCCAACCTTGCCTCTACCAAAAGCAAGTTCTGGGTCCCAGGCTGGAGGTTGGCCGCGTTATCAGTTGTGAAGGGAAACCTGCGTCATGACAACCCGCAGCAAAGCGGGACTGGGATTTGGAGGCTGATGGAGGCTGGACCACTGATCGGCAACATCGGTCCGAAATCCCAAAAACCCTATGGAGGCACCCAGTGATGGCGCCCTTCGTCGCATCGCTCTCTGCTAGGGCACCGAGGCCCAAGGTCCTGGGCAAGGATATGACGGAAACTGTTGCTAGCCGATGTCTCTATCAAAAGCCAAGCAAAGCCAAATCAACTCTTCAGCCAAACTTGATGAATCCTAAGTTTTGCTGCAGCCCTGGCGCCACAGTTCTAGTGGGACCTTGCGAAATTGAAAACCCGGAATCGGCACCTGCCCAGTCAGGGTTTTCAGTGTCCAGTGGTCATCTCTCACACACGGAGCTGAGCAACTTCCAGGATGAGCCCGAAGCTGCAAGTTGGCGCTTGAAGCATGATTACAGAGAATCCCGCACTACATCCTTTTATCTCCGCACGCAGGCGGCGTGAAACGCCGGTTTCTGTGCAGGGAGGTACCATTCGGTCCGAAGTATACATGTCTCCATGTTCTATCCTGCGGCCTTGCCTTGCAGCACTTAAAGATGCTCAAAAAGGCCGTGGCCCGAGGATGGGACACAAATGATACTCAATTTGTATACTGAAAAAATTGGCCACGCAGCTTAGCGAGCGAAGCCATCCTGGCCGTCCTCCGTAAGGGCAGCGCCCTGATAGGTGTAGCCTGCAAGGACACGCAGGGCTCATCAAGCGCGCCCTGCCACATGAGATGTGCCTGGGATGGAGGAGAAGACGACGCTCAAGGGTGCCTCCACAGGCTCGGCCATGCGGCCACCCTGTCATCAGAGCTTTGGCTTCCATAGAACCTCACCGAGCTGCTCCGAGCTCCACCGAGCTTTGCCTGGCCTGCTTCTCCAAGGCCAAGGCCGTGGACTTGGAGAAACGTGGGTCTGCCACCTCGCAGGCCAATCTTGCGCATCTCGGCTTCACTCCAAGCCCTTCCAAATGCCTCATCATCCAGCATGTCCATGATCTTGCCAAAATCCTGCATGTTCCCAAGAGCTTCATCAAGATTTCTGAACAAATTCCGTCCAGTTACTGTCACTTACTCTTCTTGCGCCTCGTTCTGCACGTTCACGCCGTTGATGGACTGCACGACCCAGCCGCTCTGCACGCCTCTGGATGTCATCATGAAGAGGATGAATACTCTAATCAGCTGCAATATGTCTCACGTCCACCCCGCCTGAAGCGAAGGCCTGGCCCTGAGGGTCGCCTGGGTATCGGGACTTGGGGATGATCTCCATGGCCATGGCGCCCTTCATGCCCTCACCTGTCCCAACTTCAAAGACAAGTAAACATATGCACACAAACGCTGAAGTGATTTACGCTGGTGCGGTGCCTGGCTGATAACGGAGGATGCCGAAGGGACGCTTCTTGAACCTAGCTTGCATTGCATGCAGAGATACCTGCGTCAGTTTTCTCAACAACAATGTCTCCTGCCCCTTCATCAATCGCAAGGCAACTTTGAATTCTTGTCACTGCAGGCTATGACAGTACAGGTGTTTGTGCATGTTTCAGCAGAGGTCTCTTTTGATAAGGGTCCTGCTCGACGGAAGCGCCCGGGCCGCTGGCCTGTGCCGCGTTGAAGGGGACATCAGAGTCCTTGCGCACTGGCATCTCATTTGAATTCGCCTACTTGCATTGCTGCCTGCAATCCGTGCTGAAGGTCCTTAGGGCCGCATCGCTCAAGGTACTCCGCACTCACGCGCGCAGGCACGCGGCTGCAGTCGCGGGGCGTCTGAGGGCTTCCCACGAAGCAGAAGCTGACAGGGGAGTAAGCGTGGCAGAAGCAGTTTGCTTTCAGGATGCCTTGTCGACATGGCAGGTCCCTTCCGTGACTCTCCCCTCGCTGGCCTTGCAAAGCTGTAGATGGCAGCCAGCGCGGCCACAGCAGGCAGCAGAGTCTTGCGCGCCATTGCGACTTGGAGTGAAGGCGGGCAGCGAGTTCAGTTCAGCTAAATGCTGACGGCAGCGGAGCAGCAGCAGCAAGTCCCAGTACTGCAAAAACCATTTCTCAGCAAGCTTTGCTGAAGGAAGACCGCGCCTTGCCCTTTGCAGGGGACATGATCAGCTCGTATCCGAATTTTCGGAACAAAACCTGCAGTACTATAATGAGCATGTCGATCAGACTTGTTGATGCCATACAGCATCCGAATCGCAACCGTTCCCTGAGGATGGAGCCTGTTTCTTGCCCCTGTGGTGATGCCTCCTTGACAAAAACGTCGTGGGCGGTGCCTCTTCCAAGCTATGACGTTAGTTCACGAATCTTGAGGAAAGTTTCAAGTTCTCTGCTCATGACATGCTAGCCGGACCTGACACTCTGCTACTTGTGGTGGGACTCCGGACGGAAGCCGAGATGTGTTCTAACCCCTTACATAGACTCCCTTCACTCCGCAGCACAAGCTTACCTGTGAACGAGAACAAGCTTTGCCTTCCCGACAAAGAGGGAGAACCTTGCTAGCAGAGTGTGCTGGTTGCGAATCTGAATTGCCCGGTGGCAAGGAAAGGCAGAAGTTGCTGTTGTAAGCAAAAGCATACATTTCCTGACCTGGATACTGCACCATCATGTATAAAGTATACCATCGCTTGGACAGGCTGGATGACGCTTCACAGCGCTCTTTGTTTTGCATTTGGAGATTGCCCTCAATAATGGAAGCTCCTGTCATTAACACATACATACATACATACATACATACATGCATACCCTGAAGCCTACGCGCCTAATCCCTAAACCCTAGACCCATACATGCATGTGTACGTACGTACGTACGTACATGCATACATGCATGCATACATACAAGCATACAGACATCCATACAGACATGTAAGCATACATACAAGCATACAGACATACAAACATGACATGAAGACCTGCGTAAATAAACGCACACCACTCATGACATATACAAGAACCCACAGTCAAATCTCGTGAATCCTCAAGGTCTGCATGTGTATGTACAAATTGCAACGCGTACGTCTAAGTGCGGAAGTGCGGTATAATAGATCTGTTTTGCAGCTGCCAATCTCTGCAAACAAACTCACGAGCACGACTTCATGGGCATTGACATTTTCCGCGACGCGGCATCTGCAAACCAAGAGTTTCGACACACTGGTTTGTGTAAGAATGGGCAGTGCCTTGCATCGAGCTGCACTGATCTGACACTTGGAAGTGGCATGTTATGGTCACTGTGAGGAGATGATATGAGTGACCCACCACCATTTGCAGAGGTAGCTGAACCACACATGTCTCTTTACAGGGCGTCTGCCGCCAAGCAGCGCGGAGAGCAATGCGAAGAGGGTCAAAAGCTTCGGCACCTTTGCAGCATGTCAGGCTCGAGCGCCTCAACTCCTCAGTAATGCTGCTTATGACATGATCCGCATTGCCAACGGCCATAGTCGCAACTACCACAATGGCACCAATTGCATTGGTCAGGCTGAGTACTGGAAAAATACATTGCAAACCATGGAATGTCTCCTACTGCATCCAATGTGATGCACCCTCCCGTTGCCTTTGCTCCATCTCTACGATCTGGGCGCCTGGGAATCAGAAACGGATTTCTCATTGTATCGAGGCATGTACATCTACATACATATGTATATGGCATTGTGGAATACAAGCTGTATCTAGCATAGTACAGTATGTACATGGATTTTAGAACATACGTTATAGACATTTATGGAATGTATATGTACACTCAAAGATAGACATGTATGTAAAGGAACCGTCTGACAGGCTCTTCAGCTGGCACACGTCGAAACAAGCTCTTAGGAGCGGGCCAATTCATGGGGCAGCCTGGCACGAAATGCGCAGACTTGGGCTGGGGACGACGACAACGACGGCGAACCTGACATGAAAAGCATCACATAAACACATATACGTGTAACCCGTGTAAACACACGAAGCTGTCGCGACATGCAAAAAGAGGATTCGCAAAAAAAGATTACACAACAAACGATTCAAAAAGCTGAAAACCAATCAAGTCCAACAGTTCCGGCATTGGATAATACAAACCGATGATTTTGCGAATTGGATGATACAAAACGATGATTTTGCGACAGAATGAAAACTCTACCCGTAGAATAGTGCGCCACAACATCCCTACAACAGTAGTATAGTATAAAGGCTGGACAATAACTATTATTCACCAATCTGTTAGTCAAGTATACACCAAGCCGCGCATGGTCACACTGCTCAAAAAGGTGGACAAATTATACATGGCTCGTGCTCAGAATGCTGGAGCTCCTAAATTGTCTTGACAATGAAAATTCGCAGTCCAATGGGCATTCCTGAAGTGATGACCCGCAACACATCCGGCCCCCAGCATTTGAGAACTATAATGCGAGCAGTGGCCCATGGTCGGCCTTCAGCAGCTCCTCTTGGGGCCAGCACACATCACCACCACTAGCAGATCATCCAGGCCACACGGCTGCAGCGAAGCAGCTACACTACTATCGTCCTTGCGATAAAAGTTGCACTGGGTGTTGGTGCTGGTGTGGTAGTGATGGTTGTCGTCGTAATAGTCGTAGCGGTGGTGGTGGTGGTGGTGGTGGTGGTGGTGGTGGTGGTGGTGGTGGTGGTGGTGGTGGTGGTGGTGGTGGTAGTAGCAGCAGTAGTAGTAGTAGTAGTAGTAGT